TGGCAGGATGGAGAGAGGATGGGTCTGCCAGGCCTGACCTCCTCTGGCCTCCATCTCCCTGCTAGCCAGTGCCAGGTCGGCAAACTCACTTCATCTGCTTCATTGGAGTGTAGTCAGACCATGAGGGAAAGGGAGTCTTGTAGCAAATACCATTAACAAACTGTTGGTCTAATGAACAGTCTGGGTCACAGACAGCTCCTGTGTCACTTTGCTCCACGGTACTAACGAGTGACTTTGATGTTTTCTCTTTGTTTCCTCACTGAATGAGAACATCTCTCTGCAGTTGACCTACAGGAGCAGTCCAGTTTCGATGTGGGGTTTTAATAAAAAATAAAAGTGAGAAAAAAAGTTTTCACATTTTAGCAGAAGAAGCACATTACATGCAGTAATACAGGAGGAAGCACAAACTTCTAAACCTTACAGTTTCCAGTCTGCGTTATCAGTCAACAAACTGCTTTAGAATAATTACCCATAACCAGTAAAAGTCATATTAAACACACCGTAGTTTCCGCCGTATAAGTCGCAACTTTTTGCATACATTTGCAAGTCCTGTGACTTATACACTGAAGCGACTAATAGACATTTTCCCCATATTTAGAACCCAATTTTTGACTGACTTTTCAAATGTTCATTCATAGATATGAACCAGTGAACATTACCAGTTGTAGCCACTAGAAGGACCTCTAGGCTTTTATATGTTGAATCGATTTTTGGAACAACGCCGGCCCACGTTTCCCGGAGGTCAGTGGAGACGCATAATGAACGTGACGCATCTGCGGTGATGCATAATAGACGCGACTTATCCAGGGCGAAGCAACTTATTTATGTTTTTTCCACTTTATATGCCAGAGCGATGTGTACGGCGGACAATACAGTAATCTTTATGCAGCTACTTTTTTATGTGAAGCAAAAAAGTTACATTTGTTTAGAAAATGTTTCAATATTCTCATTCTTTAAACCTCGGTGCTGCTCAGATGCACTGGCTTGCACTTTGTGCAATGTGTGAAGTGGGTTTTTACAGCATCGCTGGAGGGGACTTGTTCCAAACTCTGTGGGGACTGGAGGTGAAGTCTCTTACTGTGACCATCTAAAATAACATGAGGCTCTAAAAGTCTTTTTCCCATACAGGGCAGCTTTCAGCAGCTCCTCTGAAGACATGGTCAGTCTTCTGTGGGATATCTTGAGCAGATAAAGGAGAGAAAACCTGCACCGTCACGTCTATTCTCCTGAGTGTACAGAGTGGCAGAGATGGCAACTCAGGTGGAAGTGATTACTGAGGCAGGGTGACAGACGAATGGGAGCGGGAGATATGGTGAGTGTCGATTTCAGAAAAGCAGACACATTTCAAAATGTACTTTTCTTGTGGAGGTGGAACGGAGGATGTTTCCACCTGCAAAAACAAGTTCATCAACAGGTGCTGTAAATTCTGTTTGCTTCAGGAGCTGGTGTAAAACAAGGCGAAACATGTTCTATATGATGTAGTCACAATGGAAGTATTTAACAATTCATATTATGCACGATAAATGTAATTTAAATCAAGGGTATGATGAGGTCATCATCACTCAAAGTAAATTAAGACCAAATGCAACTCCCACAAAAATCTGGTTGACAGAATTACAGATTGCTGTACTTAAATCCTCTATCATGTCTATCAGTGAGGAATCTTATCAGGGAATAAAATATTTTAGTCAACATTATAATAACACTACAATATCCAATATGTCATTCATTATATTTATAATTTTGTAATTGTTGACCAACACACCAAACTACCATTCTAAATTAGGACAATAGATAAAACCTGTAAGGGCAAAACCATCATTCAGTTTTGTGACAGCAAATGAAACTTGTTTCATTTAATTGAACAGTTTGAGGCACATTTGCCACAAAGGTGTTTGTTAAGATACATTTTGTGTTGGTATGCAGCTGCATCGTCATCATAGTGCCGTCTCACAAAGAAAACTGCAAGTATCATTTCAATTTTTATCCTCAACATCAAATTACTTATTTCATTTCATGCCCAGTCAAGCATTGCCAAGCTACATGCAGAATCAGTTTTGCTTCAGCTGTTTGTCCATGTCTTTTTCTAAGACAAGCTTGCCTCCAAACTGGCAGCTTTAATAACGGCCAGATATCTGATGGCGTGGCTGATTCTCCACACAAATCAAGGAGCAGGAAGGGGTGTTTGGCAACCAGGTCCCTTAAGTCTGCACACTTTACTTTGTTAAATATGTAACAAAGTGCGTGGACAAACTGAGGCTATTTCATTTCCATGATATTGATACGACTTCAACTAATCCATAAGGAATGTAAATATAAATGTCTCTTTGGTTTTGTTATCAGCCAACTGAAAAATGTGTTTACAAGTTTCCACAGGATGAGAGACATCTGAATATAGTACTTTTAGGAATAGCTGTAATATGAAAATTAAAATTATACAATTTAAATATTTTGCATTCAGTTTCTGTTTTACATCTGGGATGTTTTACCATTTCTCTACAATTCCTTTTCAAGGAAGGTGATGTTGCACGGAACAATGGTTGAATCCTTTTATTTAATGCAAAAGAAGCAGCAGCAGCAAAAAGCTATGCAGTTTTCTTAGCTAGCCACAATCACAAGTCTATGTTGTCTCGCCTCCTTCAGCATTTTGTCCTGACGTGCTCTGTATCTAAAGAAAAGTTACCTCATTAGTGTGGGACTTGTTCAGATTGACTCTGGGCTTATTCATACTTTCACCAAGTCATACCTTTGCAGCTTTGTTCATCATACACAGTAGTCCCTCGTTTATTGCGGGTGATCCGTACTCTGAAGCCCCACGATAAGTGAAAAACCACCAAGTAGGAATAGTAGTACAAGTAGTAAGTAGTAGTTTGTTTTCGTATTTATATACAGTGCATATATAAAGGCGTTTTAAACCCTTCCCGCACTCTTGCAATATTCTAAACAATGTTTCTAAACTCTCTAAAACAGCACAGAATGTCATGATCTCAACTCTCTGCCTCCTCTGCTCTCTGCCATCTGCCAGCGCTCTCGGCCACGCCGTGCGGAGATCAGCTGATCAGCTGCAGGAGGAAGCTTCTCCCACAGCTGTGGACTGCACACATATGCAGCAGGTGCTAAATAATTTAAAAATCATTTATTTTAAATAAAAATTCCATGCTGATTGTGCAGCTCATCCGTCAATCAGCCAATTGTGTGTCAAGTCCAGTCTTACATTGAAAAACTGCGATACAGCGAGTCCGCGAAAAACGAACCACGAAGTAGAGGGGGACTACTTTATACATGATTTTTTTAATGCAAACATAAACCATCTGCCTCATTATGCACTTCATTCTGCTCTTGGCCTGTCTAATGGTCACTTAGGCTAACTTTGTAGCCACTTTGCCAGATGCCACAACATAACCAGTTTAGTAAAATAATTGACATCATCATCATTAGGCATGAACATCCAGAGCTGTACTTGTGGATGTATTTTTTTAACAAGTCCAGGTTTTAAAACAGAAAAAAAATAAATATGCCGTTCTGTCTAAATGTGGCATTGTGCTCCTAAAACGGCAATTTAATGTGTCTGCCTAAAAACACAACCAGGTTCGGTTGTGCTTCCTCTGGATTTCATGCATTTCTTCTGATTCAAAACGCCTGCACTAACAAGAGTCTGCGCCTGGTACACTTGTTTTAAGCACCGTGATTGAGTGATTAGTGCAGGGGTGTGAAAAGTATGAATTGACCAACACCTGATGGGATTCAGTCAAAACTCACAGGTCTGCCCAAAAAAAACAAAACAAAAAAAAACTACAAAAAACAAACAAACAGAAAAGAAAAACAATAATAACCAGAAGTTAGTTTTACCATAGATTTGATGACACCACCTTCACTTCAGTTCCATTTTCCTGCAGACTTTGACACAATGTTTCTGTAAGTTTAAAAAGTCTTAATGTGTTGTTAAGGCTGAGTTATCATGGTGTCATTTTCCCAGTATTTTCTATCTTTCTATCCACTGGTCCTGTGTTTAGTAGCATCAAAGCAGCAAAAAGACGCTGGAGATTCAGATCAGTTCATAAAGTCTGAGCCAATGAAAAAGTGTAGAAAAGCCAACATGTAAACAACATGATTCCTGTCCTTCATAAAAGACACAGTTCCATTTAAAATGCAAATACTTGAGTATAAAAAAGAACTTTGATCATGTTTTAACTGCCATCTTGTGAATCATTAAATCAAGTGATTGTTTGATTGTTGACTTGATTTTTCACATTGGTGCACCTTGTTTTAGAAATGTAAATGATATGTCAGGGAACTCTGATCAAGGTTTATGGATGTTTTTTAACTACTATGGCTGAGAATAACTGCCCATGAACCATGTGTTTGAGTTAGCAGCGAGCTCTTTTCTCTCTCAGAGAGAGCTGAATGAGGATCCTGCATGTGCAGCTGGATGGCCAAGGACACCAGGCTGCCTGTGAGCTGCTGATAAGTGTATAAAAACAAAGCTCGCACACTGCCCGTGACAGATTCTCATGACTGGGCTCCATGCACGTAGAACTTCTGTACATCTGTGTGAAAGTCTGCCCTTGCAAGTAAAACTGGTTAAAAATCTCCTCCTGCCATTGAATGTGGTTTCTATGAGTACGATGAACAGAGGATATTTTTATCAAACAGTATATTCATACACGCATATTTTCAGTGTAACAAACTAAATAAAATAATCAGTAAAATCACTGATCAGACTAACTTGTAGAATTGTAAATATGTGTATAATATACTGTTATAAGGTAAACTTTCACCATGGTAATAGTACAATAAGAGTTGAGAGTAAAACTGCATTGAAGCTTGAAAATTCCCCAGAAAGACCTGACTGGTGTTACATTTTGTATTATATCAGTAACATTACCAAAAACTTACAATTTGTAAAAATGCAGGAGAGTTTGCAACAGTAATGGTCCACTTTTTTTTATTGCAGGCACTTGTTGTCTTTAAAATCTCGTTGTTTTTTAAGAACCGCTGGGGTTGTTTAAGGGGTTGGCGTACTCACATCTGTCAGCCTGTCCCTGGAACTGTTCCTGACGGAGGGCTTCGACTCGCCGCTCACGCTCTCGCTGTCACTGGCCTTGCAGTTCTTCTGACCAGGTTTCAGCTAGAAGCACAACACACAAAGCAACAAGGGGTTAATACAATTCATACTTCAGCTTGGAGCGCTACATTCACAGCTCCGGCTCGGCAAGGCGTCCCACAGAAGTCAGTTAATGAATATGGGAGAACTGGCAGAATCGGTGGTGCTGTCTCTGTAAATCTGTCATGTTTCTGGGCCTATTCAGTGGCCACGTCTGTGCTTGCCAATGAGAGACGCCATCTGATCTCCCAGTATGCGACTCCTCTCAGCCCACGGAATCGAGAACAGGGATAAAGACCCCTCCAGAACCTTCAAATGGAGCCACTATCTCTCCCGAGCAGACACCACATGCTGAGGCAGCAGGAGCTCAGCAAGTGTCATCCTCTACAGGCTCGCCCTCAGATGCAGCAAAATGACAAGAATATAAAAAGGACTTGCCAATCTGGCAAAATCGAAGGCTCTTCAAAATCTGGAGAACAACGAAAGCCTCTTGGGAGAACAGAGTTCAGTGGGAGGAGGTGGAGTCTGGTCCAAGTCTGCAACTGATGCACATGCTGCGTTCTTGAGACGTGCCAACTTCTGCTGGTTTGATTTCAAAGTGTATTAAATGCTTGGCTTATGAGACCAAGCAGTGAGCAATTGTTCAGCCACTTTGCAGAAAATAAGAGTGCAACACTGCACACACTGATCAGAAGAAGTGTGCACCTTCTGCACAAGAGAAGGCCAAAGCTTCAGTGTGAGAGCGTCAGTGTGCAGTTTTATTATATATATATATATTACAGGTATGAGACATCATTTAACGTGACGACAGGACACAAGGCAGGGGAATACAAAAGAAGCCGTTGAGTTGAGGGGATAATACAAAATGAAAATGTTCCCTTTTCTGTGGCCGTTAGTGGTGTGAAAAGAATCCCATTCCATGGGAGAGTTGCATGATGGGTAGAAGGAGGGTGGATTCACCAGAGTGCTAAATGTGATAAGAAAATCCCAGCACTGTGAAGACCTGACGGGCCTGTTCAAATGTGTGAGAAAGTCTGAAAATGCTTGTGCACGCGTGTGTGTAGGTCTACGTTCCCACACAGTGCTGAAACAAGGCTGATAAGCCAAAGTCGCCTGTGCACAAGCAGTACCGTGCACTGCTACAGCGCTAATTACCTCCAACACATTTTACTCGTACAAACAAAAAAACAAAACAGAAAAAAAAAACCAGCACACATTCTCATTTTATTGTAAATGTCACTTCATCTGAAGGGAATTGGCAAAATCCTTAAAGTAAAAAAAGGAACAATATCTCATGGAGCCTGGCCTCTGAACTGATCCATGGAGAAGGCACGGGGGGAGGCTGTCTGTGCCCCCGTCTGAGGCTCCTTCATCAAAACATGTTGACCTATAATATTTATTAACCAAGCAGCATCCCTGTTGACAACACTGAGCAGCGAATGCCAGCTCTCTCATGCATTTATGAATGTGCACACACACAAAGACCGAAAGCGGCTGCCAGTTCCTCCATCGAATATTCACTGCCAGAACACATATATGGTGGGCTTATAAAACATATAATCAGAGAAGTGGAAGAAGATAGAGAGATTTGTCTTTTATTAATCAATGTGGAATCCAAAAGCTGTGCTGTGGAGAAACCACATAATCACACCGTCTGTATCCTGATTTATCTGTGTGTGTGTGTGTGGACTTTATAGAATCTGAAATACCGCTGCTCTTATCCAACTGTATGTAATGTCTGAAGAACATGTCTAATAAAGACATTCCAATAAAGCGTGGCTCATCTTTCAGAGCTATTACATAGCTGGGAACCTGATTACACAGCTATTTGAAAACGTATTCCCCGGCTTGTTCCCTTTAATTTCCCCCTGAGCTCCCTAAAATTACTTCAGAGAATTTTCTTTTAATCCGTTCTCTTTCTCTTTAGAGGTTCAATGTGTGGATTCATTCCTTTTTATGACGTGATTAAAAAAAAAAGTCTTAAGCAAATGAAGGGACTGATGGTGGTCAGTCTCATCCAACAGCGAAGCTGAAATTTAATGACCTGCCGCCTGGTGATAAATCTGAACTAGAAGCCTGCGTGTGGGTGTGGGGGGCCGTCTCTGCGATCTGATCTGTGATCATTTGATCACTCCCACTTGTACCAGCATGCAAGTCATGGTTTATATGGGTCTTTAAATTAGTTTCAGCTTTAAACCTCCTTTAATGAACCCCAGTGCACTTCACTGCAGTTGGCAGAGATCTTTGGTGGAGAAACGAGGTCTGCTGAGCAGAAGCAAAGACGCAAATGATGAAAATGTGGGTTCAAATATGAGAATGTGTTTATCTAATGACCTACAGAAGATAAACATATGTTTTTAATATTCCCAAGATTAGTTTAGCAATTAAAATATAAACACAGTCAAATGTACCATTGATTTAATAAAACATTCAAATTGTTAAATACACCTATTATTAGAGAACAATTATTTCTTTCAGTTCATTCTATGTTTGAATAAAGAACTTTTTATGTTGATCCAAACAACTTGAACAACTGATGCAGACCATAAACAGCATTTTTTTTTTACTCAGCAGTTACTTACATTTTTAGAGTAAAGCATTAAAATCACAGCATGGTTCCGCTCACAGAAATTATTTCATGTTTTGTTGCAGTCGGGCAGATTTTAGTGTCAAAAAACCTTTCAGGAAATTAAAATAACATATTTTCTTTAAAAGTCATGGTTGCAGCTTTTACAGCGGTGCTTGAAAGTTTGTCAAGCCTTTATAATTTTCTATATTTCTGCATCAATATGATCCAAAACATCATCAGATTTTCACACAAGTCCTAAATGTAGATGAAGAGAACCCAGTTAAACAAATGAGACAAAAATATTTTACTTGTTCATTTATTAATTGAGGAAAATGATCCAATATTACGTATTTGTGACGGTAAAAGTATATGAACCTATAGTATTATCAGTTAATTTGAAGGTGAAATTAGAGTCAGGTGTTTTCAATCAATGGATGATGATCAGGTGTGAGGGGGCACCCTGTTTGATTTAAAGAACAGGATCTATCAAAGTCTGATCTTCACAACATGTTTGTGGAAGTGGATCATGGAGGAACAAGGAGATTTCTGAGGAGCTCAGAAAAAGAGTTGTTGATGCTCATCAGGCTGGAAAAGGTTACAAACCATCTGTAAAGAGTTTGGACTCCACCAGTCCACAGGCAGACAGATCGTGTCCAAATCGAGGACATTCAAGAGCATTGTTACCCTCTCCAGGAGCGGTGGACCAACAAAGATCACTCCAAGGTGTGGAATAGTGGGCGAGGCCACAAAGGACCCCAGGGTAACTTCTAATCAACTGAAGGTCTCTGTCACATTAATGTTGATGTTCATGAGTCCACCATCAGGAGACACTGAACAACAATGGTGTCATGGCAGGTTGAAGGAGAAACCACTGCTCTCCAACAAGAACATGGCTGCTCGTCTGCAGTTTGATAAAGATCACGTGGACAAACCAGAAGACTGTTGAAGAATGTTTTGTGGACGATGAGACCAAAATAAAACTTCTTGGTTTAAATGAAAAGTGTTGTGTTTGGAGAAACAAAACTCTGCATTCCTGCAGAAGAACCTTCTCCCATCTGTGAAACATGGTGGTGGTAGTGTCATGGTTTGGGCCTGTTTTTCTGCATCTGGATCAGGACAGCTTGTCATCAATGATGGAACAATGAATTCAGAATTATATCAGAGAATTCTACAGGAAAATGTCAGAACATCTGTCCATGAACTGAATCTCAAGAGAAGGTGGGTCATGCAGCAACACAATGACTCTAAAGACACAAGATGTTCTACCAAAGAATGATTCAAGAAGAATAAAGTTCATGTTGTGGAATGACCAAGTCAAAGTCCTGACCTTAATCCAATCCAGATGTTGTGGAAGGAAACAATTAGCTGCAGTTACTGCTGCATCGTGGGGGTGGGGTGTCACATCAGATACTGAAAGCAAAGGCTCACATACTTTTACCATCACAAATATGTAATATTGGATCATTTTCCTCAATAAATAAATTAACAAGTTTAATATTTTTGTCTCATATGTTTAACTGGGTTCTCTTTATCTACTTTTAGGACTTTTGTGAAAATCTGATGTTTTAGGTCATATTGATGCAGAAATATAGAAAACTATAGAGTTCACAAACTTTCAAGCATGACTGTATGTTCTCTGTTAATAGATGATTTTATATGTAATTGTATTTGTAACGTGGTTTTACTATCTTCAAGCAGAAATGGACGTGTTAGTTTAAACAGGAGTTCTTCGGGCTTTGATTTAAACAAAGCACAACTTTATCATCAAACTGCAGGTTAGAAAATTTACTAAAGCTATGTGTGTGTTTAACCTCGTGTTTAACAGAAAGTGAAGTCGGTCTCATTTTGTTCAGTCATTGCCATTTTCACTTGAGATAGTTTTACATATGAATATGTACAAAGATTTCACTCAGTTACAAAAGTAGTAAAAGCACAAAATAGAAGAAAACTACACATCAACAATTTTGGCTGAGAATAAACAAGAAAAATCCAGAGGTACAGGCGCTGGGGAGGGGGATTTGTGAATGAGAGCAGCTGGGAAGATGGATATGAACAACAGGTGTACTGAATGAATAATGAAGGGAACTGAGGGGTACAATAGACATGAAAATCCAGAAACCTGCAGAATTAACAAGTAATGGAAAAACACCCAAAAAAGAAAGGTCTAAAAAAAACTATTTAGCAGCAAAAACATGAAACAAAACTGGTAATACAGGAAAAAAACACATACAGGAATAAAAAAACATGATTTCCAACCAGGAAAAATGAACCACATTAACAAAACCCCTGATTCATGACAATGAATGCTGCCATATTATTTATCATCATCAGCCATTACAAATACACAGTTTGAGATGTGCACAAGATGTTTGTGAATAATGTGGCTGCCACAACAAAAATGAAATTGTATTTAAAAAGACACTGAGCAAGAAATGTCTTATTGCCACTAAAGGCA